TGGATTGCCAAGTATGAGAAGCCGAGACGCTCCGAAGATTCACGTGCTGGTGTGTTGGTCACCAGATAAAGCCTGACCCCCGTTGAGAGCCAGCCCGAGAAGGAGAGCTGGATCCATGTTCCGCCACCGCCGCCACCGCCTCATCGCCCCCCCCCCGCCTCCACCGCCTGGGGGAATTGCCGACCGAGCGAGAAAAGAATTGGTAGCCAGGCTTGAAATCGAAAAACGAACGTTTCTGCCAGACGGTGCTCCTGAATGGCTGGTTGCAACATTTGCACGTGTAAGGGTGAGGGCAAAGGAGCTAGAATTGAAGACCGAGGCTGAGGCGGTGACCACTAATGAGCTAACATTGAAGACCGCGAAAGACTGCGAGACTGAGGCGGTGAACAATGCCAAACTATCAGATGGCCCAAGGTTTTCGGAAGAACAACATGTACGGTTCGCTAGGAGGTTCCTGTTGGGGGTCCAGCTCGAGGAAGCATGGGTGAACGAGCTTTTAAATATGAGCCTCGGTCATGCGGACGGGATACAGAATTGGATTCTGAAGGAAGACGGGCTCAAGAACTCCGGAATGCCACTGATTGACGAGACCGTGGCGAGGCGGGAAAAGAAGAGAAAGGACGAGAAACATAAAGAGAAAGAGAAAGAGAAGGAACACGAGAAAGAGGAGGCGCCACCTCAAAAGGAGGCGGCGCCCCCGAACGAAGGCGACGAACAGTAGAGCGGCGCTCGGCCGCCTCGGCACGACGTGCTGTGTACTCGCCCGCGCTGGGTGCGAGATAATTCGCGCCCCCTCCTGGCTCCGCCCTGCTTCCTCCTGCTGCCTGCGCATTCCTATCATATGATTCGTCATGTTATATATTGCATAGGAACTTGCATGTCGAATCGCGCGTTTGATATATGTGGGTTCTTATGAGGACCGTGGGGCCTATATAAGCGCCTCACGAGCGCTCGCGCGTTTCTCCCCGTCATTCGGCGGCCATTAGACAGATGATGCGGGGGGGAACGGCGAGAGGGGGCATGTGCCGACCGACGGGGGCACGGGGCTTCGGACCCACCACCACCACCACCACCACCACCACCACCACCACCACCACCACCACCGCAACCACCACCAGCAACACCACCACCAGCACCAGCACCAGCACCCGCACCAGCACCAACACCAGCACCAGCACCAGCACCACCACAACCACGCACACACGCAGGCACGCACGCGCACCACCACCCACTAGTCCGCGGATAAAGAAAATCAGCACCAAGGTAAGGGATGGGAGGGAAGGGTAGGACGTCAGATATGACGCGCGCGCACCTAGCTTGTCCTCCTCCCCCTCCTCCTCCTCCCCCTCCTCCTCCTCTTCCTCCCCCTTCCTCTTCCTCCTCTTCCTCCTCCTCCTCCTCCTCCTCCTCCTCCTCCTCCTCCTCCTCCTCCTCCTCCTCCTCCTCCCCCCCTCCTCCTCCTCCCCCGCCTCCCAGGGCGAGGGGGGCGGCGGCGAGAGCGAGGGCGAGGAGGAAGAGGGCGAGGAAAAGGAGGACGAAAAGGAAGGTAAGCGGTTAGGAAGCACAGCCGTTGATGAGGCAGCGTTCGTAGACGGATGCGTCCATGCCCAAATGCGTTGCCGATACCGCGCGTGATAGCACCACGCAAATCATAGAGACCATGTGTGCTGATGTACGCGACGTTATATAACATATTCGTCCGCGCAACAATGTTCCATGATCTGATACTTCTTACAATGTGTGTTATGCACAGTTATTGACTACCTACCAGACCACCCCAACCCAACCCGAAGACCCGAATTTCGGGTTGGGGGGGGTAAGGGTTCCACATGTGTTTTTTCGATGTTTCCCGACCCCCCCCCCACTGGAAATCGAGGGTAAATCTGAGCCTTCGGGTTGGGTTGGGGTGGTTTGGTGGGTGGTGAGTTATGTGGTGTATGCTATGGCGCACCTGTATGTATGTACCATATGTGTTGCTGTGTAGCATATGTGTGCAATGTTATGTGGCGTTGCGCATATCGTATAATACACGCATGTTAAATTGTTCGCGCAAAACGGTTCCATTTTATGTTATCGCGCAAAATGGTTCCAAGGCATGATCTTCGCGCAAAACGGGTCCATTAGTGCGGTTTGGTTCCATGGTTGCGTTTTGGTTCCATTGTGTTGTCTTCTATTTTTTGGTTCCATCTACCCTCTGGGCCCGCCAGAGCCGCCGCCGGCGCCGAGAGCGCCAAGCGTGAAAACCCATGATGAGGGGTTGAGGCAGGGCGCCGCCGGTGCGAGTACACCTGGCGCGCGCCCAACCCAAGCCGCCGGCATATCCGCCGAGCGTGCTTTGGGTCACTGCAGCTCAGCTACCACCCGCGCCGCCGGCATCGTCAGCCGTGCGTTCGCAGGGTATATATCCTCAGCCTGTGCCCCCAGCGCCGGCCAATACCTTCGCGCCGTCATGCGCGTGCGGGCTTGCCCGCCTCGGGCTCCACCAGCGCCCAGGCCACGGTGGGTGCCCCCTCCAATCGCCGAGCAGGGGCCATGCTGGGCCCCTGCCTGGCGCGCCGGCTCTCCTCTTCGAGCCCGGTCGCGCTGGGCCCACTGCAACCCGTACGAGCCGCGTCAGCTGCCGGCACCGCAGCCCAGCGCAGCCAGCGGCGCCATAATTCAGGCGCGCGAGCGCGGGCCCGCACGCCAGCGCTGGCCCGGGGAACCCCCTGATCAGGGGCCGGACCCTGCCCGCCCCGGACGCGCAGGGGGGGGCGGGGAGCCGGGAGAACTGTGCGGCCACAGCGCGCGCTGCGGGCGCCGCGGCGCCGGCATCAGCCAGGCGCCACTCGCGGCACGCCCGGGCCTTGGCCCGAGGCCGAGCTCCGCCGGCAACCAGTGCGCTGGCGTGAGCCTCGGCCTAGACCTTGCGGCGGACGGCCGAGCACGCCGGCATCAGCTGCCTGGCGGTGCTCGGCACGCATGATGGCCAGCTGGGCCCTCCGCGCGCGCCGGCGCCTGCGCCCGGCTGCGCGCGCCCCGAGCAGCTCGCGCCACCGGCAAGGCACTGCCAGCGGCGCGGCTCCAGAGTCTAGATGGTGCCGGCTGCACCTGCAGCCTGGCGCCCAGTTTTGGCGGCGCCGCCTCTCGGCGCCCCCGCAGCAGTTGCTGACGGGCATGGCCCGCCAGACCAGCGTGCGGCGGCGCAGGCAGCAACCTGCCAGCACCGCTGGAATATATGGCGGCGAGGCCCGCTTCGCGTGGCGGAAGGAGGGGCCCGCCTGGCGCCCCGTGGGACGCCGGCGGGGGGAGCGCGCGGCCAGCGCAGCGGCAGAAAACTACCGCCAGCGCCGGCACCATCATCTCCTGAGGGCCCGCATCTAACCGCTTCGCGGCTCGCATGTCCCGCGGCCTGACAGCAGGCCGCGCTTTCGCTAGCGCCGTACTGTGGGGGCGGGGTCTTCGTTGTTTGACCTAAACGGTTGGACCCTGCCCTCCCCAGTCGGCTTGGGTTTCCTCTCTCTCCCTGCCCCTGCTTCTGCTGCTCTCTCTCCCCCTTTTTTCCTCCCGCTCAAGCCTTCGGGGCTCAAAGCCCTCCCAGGGCCTTCTGGGGCCCTCTTTTGCCCGCCCACCCTGGGCTCTGCCCCGGTGTCTAACGGCACCGGCGGCGAGGCCCGCTTCGCGTGGCGGAAGGAGGGGCCCGCCTGGCATCCCGTGGGACGCCCGCGGGAGGAGCGTGCGGCCAGCGCAGCGGCAGAAAAGTACCGCCAACGCCGGCATCATCATCTCCTGAGGGCCCGCATCTAACCGCTTCGCGGCTCGCATGTCCCGCGGCCTGACAGCAGGCCGCGCTTTCGCTAGCGCTAGCGCCGTACTGTGGGGGCGGGGTCCCCCCCCTCTGCCCTGCAGCCCCTCCCTTTGCCGAGCGGACCCCCTCTGCAGAGCAGACAGCCCCCCCCTGCAACCCAGCGTCGTCGTCGTCGTCGTCGTCGTCGTCGTCGTCGTCGTCGTCGTCGTCGTCGTCGTCGTCGTCGTCGTCGTCGTCGTCGTCGTCGTCGTCGTCGTCGTCGTCGTCGTCGTCGTTGCGTCGTCGTCGTCGTCGTCGCTCGCGTCGTCGTCGTCGTCGTCGTCGTCGCTCGCGTCATCGTCGTCGTCGTCGTCGTCGTCGCTCGCGTCATCGTCGTCGTCGTCGCCGTCGTCGTCGTCGTCGTCGTGGTCGTTGTCGTCGTCGCTCTCGTCGTCGTCGTCGTCGTCGTCGTCGTCGACGTATTCGTTTTCGTCGTCGTTTTCGACTTCCTCGTCGTCTTTTTATTTCCACAGGCACCGGGAGCGCCCCGGATCGGCGGCACTGGCCGGAGGCCACTACAATAATGTGGGGGGCATGGGTCGCGAGATACAGGACACAAGGGTAACCTTGTTTTGGCAAGGTCGACATACTAATCAGGGCCGACTGTATGATGGGAGGGAACAAACAGGGGGGCTCAGAAAGGTGCACCTTCCGTGCCACTTCGGGCCCCCTCTGGGGCCTCTTTCATTTCAGCGATCGATCCCTCCCATGCATGAGAGGAAGAACAAGTACACGATCATACGTTTTCCAAAGTCCGCGTGCCTTTTTTGATCGGCGCTGGATACCCTTCCTCGGGGCGCCGATTGCCTCAGTTGCGACGCCGGAGGCGCCGCCAGAAGGGCCAGCGCCGATCCAAGAAATGAACGCGGACCGTCGCCTCCAGCGGCGCCCCTGGGGCGCTCCGCGCCCAAGGTTGGGGTGTTGAGCCCGCCCTGGACTACTCGGAGGGCCTGTTGAGGCTAGCTGGGACGACTCTGGGGGCCTGTTGAGGCCAGCTGGCACTACCTGGGGGGAATGTCTTGCGCGCGTCCCGAAGCCAAACCACTCCTCCTCCTCCTTTTACGCTGGGCGGACTTTCAGTGCAATGCAATGCTTCTAGCATCCTCCTCCTCCTCCTCGATCCTAATTACGTCCCCTTCGACCCTCCTCCTCCTCCTCCTCCTCCTCCTCGATCCTACTCGATCCCCGTCTTCTTCGACCCTCCTCGTGGCCCGCGGCTGGCTGGGGGCCGCGCCGCACAGCGACGCCAGCGCCATGGCCAGGCCGCCGCCGCCCTGCGCCGCCTGCTCCGCCGCCCTCCACCCGCTCGGCGCGGCCGCGGCGGGGGCTCCCAGCCGCAGCGCGGCGGGCCTGCCGAGAGAGAGGGGGCAGAATATCGCCGGTGCGATGAGGACCGAGGATCGGTTGGGGGATGAACCCTGGCGTCGCAGGATCTTGCAAGATCTGGCACTCTGGCTGTTTGCACTTGCCCCCGTCCCAAGGCTCCCGAGGGCGAGGGCGCTGGCGGCGCCCTCGCCCTCGCCCTCGCCTTCTCCGCCGCCCGCCGCCGGTCGCCGGTCGCTGGCGCCGCCGCCGCCCTCGTCGCCGTCGTCGCCGCCGCAGCCTTCGTCAGTGTCGTCAATCGCCGCCGACGTTCCCAGACACCCCACGCCGTGACTTTTTCAATACGCTCTCCCCCCGAAATCTCGACCCTCTCCCCAGGGCCCGCTTCTCATCCCCACTTGACGGTCCCTGGAGCTGGCGATGGCCCCCAGAGGCCGGAAACGGCGGAAAACGCATGAATGTTTCTCTGATCTGCGCTGGAGCAGGGCTGAACCTAAACGGTGTTTTTCGTTTTCGTTTTCCCTCGCTTTTGCCTCGAATCCGCCTCAACCGCAAAACGAAGTCGAAACGAAAACGGCCCACGAAATCACCAAAAACACCGTTTAGGTCCAGCCCTGCGCTGGAGGTCTGCGCCGTCGCCGTCTTCGCCGCCGTCTGCGGCGGGGCCGCTCCGCCGTCACCCTCACCGTCGTCTTCGCTGGTCGCCAGTGGCCGCAGACCGTGCCTGAGATCTGACGTCGCGGTGCTTCCCCGTGGTAGATACCCCGATGATGAAGACTTGCCAGCTTCCCAATTCATGGGAAGAGGACTCCACCATAATAAACCAGGCCGAAGAGAAGGAGCCCAATGTGCGAGACAGGCCGCAGACCCAGTGAGCAGCGTTGTTGCTAAAGGCGTTGCGACACCAAGTGCAACATCGCGAGAAATCAAGACTGGAGCCCCAGTCCTAGTCTCCCTTGCGGCATGCGGGGCCCGACAAACCTTGGGAAAAACGCCCGGCGTACGACGTGCGACGCCAGGAGCTCCGGGGTCGCTGGTCCCAGACACGTCGCGCTTGTTCCACAACGTGGTGCCCTGGAGGCTGGGACCAGTTCCCCCAGATTGGCATTCCGCCAGGAGCCGTTTCTTGACAATCCCCTGGCCTTGCGAGGGATCCCAGAGGCCGAAGACTCGCAACAACCTCACGCCGCGATCGTCCCACACCGAGACAAACCCTAAAACCCGACGCCGCGAATAATCACGACCCGATCTCTAAACCCCATTTTTCTGCGGCACCTCCCGAGCTGGATCGACGTGTCATGGCATCCCGCGGCCCGACGCTGAGCGAAAACGCCAGGTGGACTGGGATCGGCGCAGGGGTTGCTAAGAGGATAAGCAGATTATCAGTGGATGATGATGTGGCTTATTTCTGGCCTACACTAGACTATAAGTGAGATGCGAATGCCCCAAATGGCTTAGGGTGCTTCGAACACTCCGCCAACCCCCCTAAGCAACTTGGTGCAGTTGTAACCCACTCATACATCATATTAGGTAAGATCTGGCCCGCTTGGCATGCACTGATCACGCTTCTATCCCCTTAGCACGCCCCGCGCCGATCTCAGTAACAAACCTGCAACGCCCAGATCTCAGGGTCCACATGCGACAAGAAGAGGTCTGTGGCCGACGCCGCCGCCGCCGCCGCTGGCGTGGGGCGGCGGCAACGCTGGGATAGGCTCGGATAAATACACCACGTCGTTTGGCCTGCCAAGGAACTCGATGCACAGACGCTCTGGGCTCCCCACCTGTGGGACGCTGGAGTGTCTGTGCACCAGATTCCTGCGCCGAGCTCCTTGGCAGCTTGGCCGACCAAACGACGCGGTGTATACATCGAGCTTGAAGGTGGCCGGGGGTTCTGAACTGGATGAGCCTCGAAAAGCAATGTTTGAAGAAATGATGATGAAGCCAAATCCGTTCAAACTCGGTCCCCGGACCCCTCCCAGGGTCCATCTGGTGCAGTTTTTCACCCTGGGTCCGTTTTTGACAGCCTGCGGGGCCCAAAAACGGCCCCCAGAGACTGAGACAAACAAAAAGCCTTCCCGAACCCCGCGCCTCGAACCTCTTTCCCCCCTATTCCTGCTCGCCGGAACCAGCGCTGGGCCACTCCAGATCCCCAGCCGAATCCATAGAGACCTCCCCAAGTCGGGTCCGTGTAAATGGGGTCGGAGGGACGCGCCGCACGCTGATGCATCGGCGATGCATCGGCAACGTCGGCGATGTCGGCGATGCATCGCCGATGTCGGCGTGGAGGAACTCGTGTTTCACATCGCGCCGCATCGCCAATGCATCGGCGATGCGGTGCGATCCTCCGACCCAATCAACTCGGACCACATCTGGGAGGCCTAGACTTCAACGCCCAGATCCCAGGGTCCACATCACGCCATCGCTCGGACGTCCTCCATTCCCCGTGCCTTTTTCGGCTTCGCTCGCGTGTTTTCTCGCAAGATGATCCAAAAGGCTCCTCGATGGTCCTCGCCGAGGACAAGATGCACACATCCGAGCAACGCTAAGGCATGCGAGGAGAATAGGTCTGGGGCCGACGCCACCGCCGCCGGCGGGGGGCGGCGGCCCCATCTGACGCACAGAAACTGGAGCGTGAAGACTCCTCCTCCTCCTCCTCCTCCTCCTCCTCCTCCTCCTCCTCCTCCTCCTCCATCTCCTCCGCCCTCCTCCTCCTCTCCTCCTCCTCCTCCTCCTCCTCCTCCTCCTCCTCCTCCTCCTCCTCCTCCTCCTCTTCCTCCTCCCTCAGGGCGGGCCCGCCAAAAATCGTGGGCAGATCCGAGGTCTGGCGCACTCTTCTTTCGTCGCAGCGCGGCAGAGGCGATCCGCACGCGTACACCAGTGAGCCGGGCTATGGCACGCACAAGTTGTTCGGCGGCAAGGAGTGGGGGACCGAGGCGGGTCGCGGCCGCGGAGGGCGGAAGAGGAGGGAGGGCCCTCACACCCGTGGTCTGGCGCACTCGAGTCTCTCGCTTCCCCGGTGGGGGCTCTCAGAGCGCGACGGCATGCTGCTGTGCACTCCTGCTCGGGGCACCTCGCCTGGTGATGGTTTTGGGATGGGCCGATGGGCATCCTCGAGGCCTCCAAAACTGAGCCGTCCTCCTCGGCGGCGGAGGCCAGGAGGATGGGGCCCGAGCATCGCACCTCGTCGCCGATGCATCGGCGATGAGTCTGCCGTTTCCCCGATTCGAGGGATCCGATGGCGGCGGCAGACCATCGGCGGCGACGATAGAGGCGAATAGCCAGCCTATGGGGCGGGCATTACACGTATTCGCCCGGGAGCCTCGTCGAAGGCATGGACCATCTGCACCCTGAGATACATGGGTTAGCGATCCCCTGCGCTTTAGGAGGCAACTACTGGGAAGTTTTCGTCAGAAAGATTAAACATATTACGCCGGATGAAGCGGGATTAAGCCGTGTTGGCCGGAGTGGGCCTCGGATTAAGCCAGATTAAGCGGGATTTTAGCGGGATTAAGCGGGATTTCAACGGGATTGAGCCGGATTTCGGACCAGGGCAAAAACAGAATTTGACCTCCCAGGAATTGCATCCGAATTGCCCCCGTCGTCGCCCTCGAGACCGGGCGGCGGCCTCCGCTCGGGCGCCCACGCGGCGCCGCCCCGGCGCCGCAGGGCGGGCGCCGCCGCGGCGCCGGCGGAGAAGGCCTCGTGCTGGC